TTACATAAAAAGTACACACAGGGTTGGAAAATACGGGGTAAATACTGGCCATGTTTCACAGAAAATTTTAGAACGAGGCAGGCCTGTCAAACACACAACACCCAGAGGAAGAAGAAGCCAGTCAGAAGTTTGTGGAAGTTAACAGTAATGACATACTAATAACAAAAGCAGTGCAGCCGTTGTGTCATTGTTGATAATTTACTGTTGCAGAGAAGTGGCACATACACGTAACAGAGGTAGACACGGGTGAGCGATAGGCCAAGAGAGTCGCATACAAAGAGGATCAGAAGACTGTACACAAGCAGCACCCTTTAGACTTAGCCATTTGATTTTGCAACTCTGCACAAGCTCTTGTAAGCAAGCCATGCCTCATCGGAAGGCAGGAACCGAGCTGACAATCTTACCTGCCCCAGCCCAGAGCGAAGGGAAGTGGGTTTTTTTATTTTTTTGGACCACGACTCCCAGAATCCCTTAGATAACATTCTGGGTGTTGTAGTACAGAAAGTCACTTTCCTGAGCTGTGTGGGAGCAACTTTTTTGTTACTGTGAAGGGGGAGTGAAGGGAGCAATCAAAGAAAGGACTCCGTGGTGCTTGCGACAGCAGGGCAGTGGGGTCTGCTGGATAGGAGCCCCAGACCTGGCCTGGAATCTTGGAAGAACACTCTCTCTCTTTCTCTCTGTCTCTCTCTCTCTCTCTCTCTCTCTGTGTGTGTGTCAGAGAGAGGGAGGAAGGGAAGAGAGAGGGCTTCATGTTGATCCCCCAGGGCCCTTTGAAAACCTTCAGGCATACCCAGGGAAGACCTGGCCCCACAGACGCATGGCCACCCGAAAAGGTCTAGCGATTGTTCATGGCTTTGTACCTGCGGCTCCTTCTCTGGGCTTCCTCCTGTTGCGCCCCCCCCCCATCTTTGCAGCTGTCCCTACCAGGCAGGGCATCTCGGGTGGCTGGGTGGGTGGCTGCCTGAACAAAACCATGGAGACCCAACCCCCAGGATGGCGTGAAGCCACCCCCTTGTTGCCCCCGATCTGCCGCATGACGAGTGGCATTTGCCGTCTTTACAAAGGGAAAGGAGGGGGGAGAGGAGTAGCCAGAGACATCAGGACGTCTCAGAGCTCCAGCGCCATCGCGTGGCCCTGCCAGATACAGCGCCTGGCCTGCAGCTTCTAATGGCAAGGAACTTTACATAGCTGCCAATAATACCTCTTCACAGGACGGGGCAGGGGTGTGTTTGTTTAATCTTTCTTCCCCCCCCCCAACAAAGAGGGGTTGAAGAGTAATCCCGGGTGCAGCTGGTGAGAGGACAGAGGAATGTTTTGCTCACAGAGATCCCTGGCTGCTGGCCACGTGCCTGGGCCAAGCCAGGCTGTCAGAGCAGCAGAATCAATGTCTCGGGAATTTCAGCAGAAGAAGGAAGGAAACCGGCAAGCTCGTTGCAGAAGGACTTGAGGACCCCAACAGGTTTAAAACTGGATTCCTCTTCAGTGGCCCTTTGAGGCACAGCGGATAGGATACCCCTTTGGTGACCAACGTCTGTTGCAAAATGATTCCCACACCCCACAAAGCTCCCCACTTGCCCTGCAGCCCGGATAGGCTTTGGACAGCTGCACCCAAAGGGACACGGTCTGCCCATCTGGGGAAAGTAACTGATGGGAGGGTGCACACGCCCACTCCCATTTGTGCAGCTTTAAGGAATCCGGTACCTTTAAGAAAGCCAGAAACCAGCTCCTGGGCCTTTTCAAGATGTGGATCTTTCCCTCCCCACCTCTGTGAAAGGAGCTGCTTTTAAAGGCAGAGCTACAAGCACAAGTTAAGGTAATGGCAACATAAATGGAAAGCCAAATGCTGTCTAGTCCAGAGCTGGCAATGGCGGGGACTCAATGCTGTGAGTCTGTGTGTATAGCAGATCTCTCTCTCTCTCTCTCTCTCTCTCTCTCTCTCTCTCTCACACACACACACACACACACACACACACACACACACACACACACACTCTGCCACAGTTACACCTGATGAAATGCCTCCTCCTGCATGGAAGGGGTATCCCTTCCCTGGACCCCAAGGCAGGCAGAGGTACCCCCTTGGCCATCTCATTGCGGCTACCCTTCAGCCTTGCAGGGATGCCTCTGGAACGAGAGCCCCAGCAGATGCTCCCTCTCCCCTGGGAAGGCTAGGCCTTTCTGCCAGGCCTGCCCTCTTGAAGCGCCCAGCCCTCCTGGGGTGGGTGGGTTTGGGTAGCTGCAGCTCCTGCCCCTGGCCAGGCTGTAGGTTTGGTGGAGCTGCTCCCCCCTTGCTTGTTGGACCCCTTTCCGGATGAATTGATCCAGCAGGACAGAACTTGGAGGGACCATCTGTTGCCGTGGCAACCCTGGATAGACTCAGAAGCCTTGGATTGGCTGCTGGTGATGTCATCTTTCTCTTTTGCTGGACCCCCAAGATTCAGGGAGGTCCTCTTTGCACCCTCCATTGCATCCCCATCCTCATCCCCTCTGGCTTCCTTCTTAGCTGGATGAGAGCTTGTGAGAATGAATCTAATTGCAACTACTTCATTAACGGGGCGAAAGGAATGGTGGTGTCCATCCAAAGAAGGTTGATTAATGTTCAAAACAATTTTCCAGATTTGAGATGATAAAACAATTCCTCCTAGGGAGGCGTATCAATGGGCACCCCCTGTTTCTCTTGCTGTGACCTGGCTCATTCATTCGAGCCACCTGCCTTGCTTTGTTTACTTCTTTCAGCAGCCGTGCAGGTGTTTCCTTGCAGAAGAAGGCCTTCTTTTCTCCATACATAATTATCTTAGAACTGCAGAGCCTGAATGGAGCCTATGGATTATCGAGTCCAGACCCTGTCAAGGAGGCACCGTGGGGAATCCTTGAAGCATCTGGGCTTAATAATCCATAGATGATGATGATAACGGAGATAGAATTTTAGGAAAAAAGAAGGCCTTCTGTGAAAGAAAACACACACACAACTGCTGGAGTACCTCCAAGAAAAACAAAGTGGGGGAAAGGCTTCATAGAGGTTACTGTGCAGCCATCTCAGATTTTAAGATCAGAGTGGCCTAGGTTGATCTTTTAGACTCATCCCATTAACTATGCTTGCCCACGGCAGCTTCTTCACACAAAGCAATGGAGAAGGACAGTAGTCAGACTGGCAAGAATAGGGACCGAATGCCTTGGAATTTCTTTTCTGCCTCTTTCTGCCTTCACTGGCCTCTAAGCAGAAAGGGGAGGCGAGGAAGGGAGGGACATGAAACCGGAGAATCTGGATGAGTTTTGGAAGAACAAGCTCTGGAGAAATGCAGAGCTCCTACCGGCTGATCCCTCTCCTCCCTGGAACACAGAACATGTCCTCCCTCGGGATTCATTTATTAGTTTCATTTATAATGGGTGCAAGGTGTATACATCCCTCAGAGCAGCTTACAACAGATAAGACAATAATAGTACCCACTTACTAAGGCAGAATGCAATCGAGTACTGTATAATAAAAAGACAGTAAGGCAGAAGCAGGCATTTCAGATAAGAGGCTCCCTCAGATGAAAATATCAACTCCCAGAGCAGGTGGGAATGGAGGTTTCGGTCAGCTAACAGAAGGCAGCTGGGAGATGGCGGGGG